CGCTGGATCACTGTTACACCACAGTAAGCAGGGCTTATCACGCCGTCCCTCGTGCTGCACTGGGACACTCTGACCACGTCATGGTCCATCTGATTCCTGCATACAGGCAGAAACTAAAGCTCTGCAAACCTGTGGTGAGGGAATTCAAGAAGTGGACCAGTGAGGCGCTGGAGGATCTTCGGGCGTGCTTTGACTGCACAGACTGGGATGTTTTCAGGACTGCTACTGACAGTCTGGATGAGTTCACAGAGGCTGTAACTTCCTACATCGGCTTCTGTGAGGACAGCTGTGGTTCACAGCGGAACTCAGAACACTACGCCTGCAAAAGGATCAGGCATTTAGGAGTGGGGACAAAGACTTGTACACAGAGGCAAAATACAAGTTTAGCAAGGCGGTGAGGGACGCTAAACGACTGTACTCTGAGAAACTCCAACAACAGTTCTCAGCAAGTGACTCTGCTTCGGTCTGGAGAGGCCTCAAATACCTCACCAACTACAAGCCAAAAACCCCCCACTCCATGAATGACCTCCGCCTGGCAGACGAGCTGAATGAGTTCTACTGCAGATTTGAAAGACAATGTCCTGATCCCATCCCCCACAGCTCCACCAACCTGCTGCAGTCCCCCTCTCCTCCCTCCCCCAGCCCATCAGGTGCTCACGCCTCTTCAACTATATCACCTTCCCCTCTATGGCGTTATATTTGTGCCACAATCCTGAGCGCGTAATTTTAAGTTTTGAGCACAGAGAACTATGTTGTAGCAAAGAAAAACATCCTGTGCGCGCAGTTTACTCAGGTGCCCTCTCCACAAACTGGTTTTCTGCGCGCAGGCAGCCGTTGCTGCGCTCTCTCCACCTCTTCACGCTGCGCTCGCTCGACGTTTCACTCACGCGCTCGCTCGACTTGCAGCAGCGTTACATTTGTGCCACAAAACCAACCAATCAGAGAATTAAAGAAGGTCAATTGTGATTGGCTGTTGGTCTCCAATCACAACGCTTCCTAAAGAAGACGAAAAAAAGTGATATTACAAGTCCGGCTAGCCACCATCAGACATGACCGAAGCAAATCATGAGAACAGCAAGTGTTTTAATCCAGGCCATTAGGATTTAGCACAAATGCTGCAAACTTCAACAACCCGCTGAGCTTCCGCGATGCTGTAGGTAGTTCTACTAGCGTTGTGATTGAAGACCAACAGCCAATCACAATGGACCTTCTTGTGGCACAAATGTAACGCTGCTGCAAGTCGAGCGAGCGCGTGAGTGAAACGTCGAGCGAGCGCAGCGTGAAGAGGTGGAGAGAGCGCAGCAACGGCTGCCTGCGCGCAGAAAACCAGTTTGTGGAGAGGGCACCTGAATAAACTGCGCGCACAGGATGTTTTTCTTTGCTACAACATAGTTCTCTGTGCTCAAAACTTACAATTACGCGCTCAGGATTGTGGCACAAATATAACGCCATACCCCTCCCCCACCAGCAACGACCCTCTCTATTCTGGAGAGAGACGTTAACCGGCTCTTAAGAAGACTAAATCCCCGTAAGGCAGCCGGTACGGACTCCGTTTCCCCTCACTCCCTGAAGCATTGTGCTGACCAGCTGTCTCCGGTGTTCACTGACATCTTCAACACCTCCCTGGAGACATGCCACGTACCAGCCTGCTTCAAGGCCTCCACCATCATCCCTGTCCCCAAGAAGCCCAGGATCACAGGACTCAATGACTACAGGCCCGTCGCCCTCTGTAGTCATGAAGTCTTTTGAACGGCTAGTCCTGACCCACCTGAAGTCCCTCACCGACCCCCTCCTGGACCCCCTGCAGTTCGCCTACAGAGCCAACAGGTCTGTGGACGATGCTGTCAACATGGCCCTCCGCTACATCCTCCAGCATCTGGACTCCCCAGGAACCTACGCCAGGATCCTGTTTGTGGACTTCAGCTCTGCTTTCAACACCATCATCCCGTCTCTGCTGCAGGACAAACTCTCCCAGCTGCACGTGCCCGACTCCACCTGCAAGTGGATCACAGACTTCCTGTCTGACAGGAAGCAGCACGTGAAGCTGGGGAAACATGTCTCAGCCTCTCGGACCATCAGCACCGGTTCCCCCCAAGGCTGCGTTCTTTCCCCTCTGCTCTTCTCCCTGTACGCCAACAGCTGCACCTCCAGCCACCAGTCCGTCAAGCTCCTGAAGTTTGCGGATGACACATCTCTGGTGGGGACGAGTACACCTACAGGTGGGAGTCTGACCATCTGGTGTCGTGGTGCAGCCAGAACAACCTGGAGCTCAACGCTCTAAAGACAGTGGAGATGGTTGTGGATTTCCGGCGGAACAGAGCCCCACCCTCCCCCATCACCCTGTGTGACTCCCCCGTGACTATTGTGGATTCCTTCCGTTTCCTGGGCTCCATCATCACCCAGGACCTCAAGTGGGAGCTGAACATCAGCTCCATCACCAAGAAGGCTCAGCAGAGGTTGTTCTTCCTGAGGCAGCTGAAGAAACTCAACCTGCCAAAGACGATGATGGTCCACTTCTACACGGCCATCATCGAGTCCATCCTCTGCTCCTCCATCACCGTCTGGTACGCTGCAGCCACAGCCAAGGACAAGGGCAGGCTTCAGCGGGTCATCCGCTCTGCAGAGAGGGTGATCGGCTGCAATCTGCCGTCCCTGCAGGACTTGTTCGCTTCCAGGTCTCTGAAGCGAGCTAAAAAGATCGCGGCCGACCCCTCCCACCCCGGACAAAAACTGTTTGTGCCCCTTCCATCTGGGAGGAGGCTGAGGTCCATCAGGACTAAGACCTCCCGCCACACGAACAGTTTCTTCCCGTCGGCAGTCGGGCTCATCAACAGAGCCCGGTCCCCCACTGACTGACTATAACATTCCACCGGTCACTCCCCTTCATACTGCACATGCCACTTTAACTGCAATTCATCACTTTGTCACTTGTCACTTTGTCTCTTGTCTTGAATGGGATGTCAGGAACTAAAGTGTCTGTTGAGTTCGACTATATCCTGGAATAACAGGACCCAGCCAACTGCAACTCTTTTTCTATTAACTGATCCTGAATATCATAGATCACCGCACTACCTTCCTCTCTAACGTTGGTTTTAACGTGTTGGGATTGTGTGGTGATATATACTAGACACATGAATAATGCCCTTTGAATTGAATCTGTGCGCATTTGACAAACTGGTCATGTGTCTGCCAACTTCCACAACTGAGCTGACCACCAACTAAAGTGACACAATACCCAGATGACGATACATTAACATTCCGCTGAGAGACACAAACACCAGTTTCCTCGCAGCAAGTCCTGTGTTTGTTTGACCCACACGGCCCCAGCAGAAAAGACGCACATTACCAGCAGTAACATCGTTATTACATCAGTGATGTCACGTCACTTTAAATGCAGAACTTCTTCAAAGGTTAAGGTTTCTTTTGTTATATTCCATATATTATTGTATTAAAGACAGGACGATAAAAAATAGTTTGTAAAGTCATTATGACACCGTAAGTATCCTGGAGTATGTAAAAAGTATGAAGAGCACAGCAACAAGCGCAACGTTTATCAGAGCAACAAAGCCATTTATAGTTTGTGCTTTTGAACTCACCCAGTGGAGACTCTAAAGTTCATTTTTACAAAAGAATCATTTTCCTTAAGAGTTTCTATTCAGCACTCAGCATTCAGCATTGTTTTGACCGCAGTCTGACAAGCAGTTAGAAACCAAGCTAAAACCAGGAAAACACCCGTAGCACACTTGGACATACAAGACATTTTTAGAATAATTGTTTATTTCTCTGTAAACAGAATAAGAAGTACGCATCAGCGCCAAGTTACAGGTATATTCCACTCTTTCCGTTCTTCAACCTCCAAGTACGCAAAACACTCTCCTGCTTGATCCCTAAAAAGAACCCCTGAGCTCAGCTAAGTTAGCTGACCCCAGTGCCTGTGTGAGCTTAACTCGTTCTCACTTACCAAACATTTACATATTACATATATCATAGCAGAGGAAAATAAGCAAAGAATTAGCAAATTAATTGAATACATGGAATGTAGGTGAGTGTCCTTACTGTTACATATTAATATTGTGGACCTCACACACTCAGTGTTTTTTGTCATTATAGCTGGGTATGGCAGAGGTTTACATATAGCAACATACCTGTCATAAGACTTGGCTAACAACAGATATAATTCTGTACCACTTAAGGTGTAGCACAGAAAAAATTGAAAGAGTAAAGCTGAATATGAAATTATCTGTGTTTCAGATAAACAGTTAACTACTTTGGTTAAATAGCACTGCTGAAAACAGTAGCAAGGCAAGGCCGCAAAAAAAAACAGTACAAAAACTCATGGAAATTTTTATGTATCCAGTTAAGGTACAAAATGGTGAAATTAAAGATGATTATTAAAATATGTGGTGTAAACATAATCACAAAATGAAGATATCTGTATTTGTGAACTTCAAAAAGCCCGTCAAAAATGACTCATGTTCAAATATGTTCATCAAACATTAATGTTGTCAAAAATAAGAACATGTGGATCAAGTAACTTGCAAATAATATTAACATCTAGCCTCTACTGGAATGTCTTATTCTTTCAGAAATCTAACCTTAAAATGCACTGACAGAGAGACAGCCTATTACACCAGATGAAGTAATAAAGAAGAACAATAACTTAACTTGAATCGGAAAAATGCTCATGCTCTTGCTTTAATGGTTGTTTGTTTGAAATATTGATATGCATTAATCTCATCACAACCCCCCAAACTCCTCCATAATATAACAACCTCTGTCAAATCACATCTCACTGCACCACTTACTATATTTTGATGGTTATTTTATATTTCTCTCATCTGTATGTTTTCTTTATTTTGTTGGGTTGCCCTTCTAAGCATATATAAAGGCTTATCTCATCAGATAAGGGTTACTATAAAATTCGGCAATACACATGAAGACAAAGGTCACGATAAAAAGTAAGTAAGTAAAATCAAACTGCAAAATGAATGCCTACAGTGTCAATTTTGCAGATGAACACCCCTCAACATTCTAAATAGAAGCTTATTAAGGTGATCATTAATTCTCCTCATTTTTAGTCCATAAATGATTGGATTAAAAAGAGGGCTATATATTACAAATTGTACAGTTATAATAAAACGTACAATTTTTGGAGAATCGAGTTCCAGTCGAGGAAGAAGTACATCATATGCATTTGAACAGGAAAAGTTGATTAGAACCAGCAGATGGGGTAAACAGGTCTGTGCAGCTCTACTCCTGACTCCTCTACATCGATACGATACTACAAGTATCCTGCCGTATGTGAAAAGTATGAAGAGCAAAGGGAGAATTAAAAAAGTAACAAGACTCAACAAACCATATATATTCAGAATTCTTGATCGCACACAGTGAAGTGTTAGAATTGTGCTGTTGCAAAGTATTCCTTTCAAATGAAACTGACAGATTTCTTTTTTAGCACTTAGTAATACTACAACTGAAAACCAACAAGCAGGCAGAATCCAAGCGGAAATAAGAAAAACGTTCACAGTTGTTTTTTGCATGATGATTGGATATTGCAGAGGGTTACATATAGACACATATCTGTCATAGGCCATAACCGACAAGAGAAAGAAATCTGAAACGGCTAACCAGTAATATAAAAACCACTGGAAGAGACATGCTGGATAAGATATGATCTGTTTTTCTGATAAGAAGTCAATCAAAAGCTTTGGGTAGATAGCAGTGCTGAAAAGAACAGAGTTGATTAACAAAGCTGCAATGAAAATGTACATTGGCTCATGCAGGTTTTTGTGAAACATTATGATGCCAATAATCGTGAAGTTACTGTTAATTACTAAAATATACACCGTAAACATGAGCACAAAATAAAGATATCTATATTTATGCACTTCCACATGCCCACCAAAAGTGATGTATGTCACATTTGATCTATAATCCATTAATAATTCATTCATTGAGATGATAACAAATAATATTAATCTGCCACAAACAGCACTAGATTGTCTCTCTGTCTTTAGCACCTGACCTTGATATGCTCTGGTGTGATCCAGCAAACACACGGACTGAAAAGTGATCTGTGAGAGTCGGTGGGAGGTTTTTTATCTGACTACTTCATCCTCCATGGATCTCATTGAACTCTCCAAAGGATGAACTCTCCAACAACTTGATTCTAGAGGGCTAAGGTCATTGATGTTTTCTATAACCAAGTAAAGAAACACCTACCATATTACCACTATAAAGCACACTCAAAATCTCACACTTAAATATTCTAATTGGCAGTGCGCCCTATAATCCAGTTATAAACTTTAAACTTTGTGTGGCGGGAGGTCTTAGTCCTGATGGACCTCAGCTTCCTGCCAGATGGAAAGGGCACAAACTTTTAGTTGTCTGGGATGAGAAGGGTCTGCAACAATCTTTCTAGCTCACTTCAGGGTCCTGGAAGAGACGGCAGATTGCAGCCAATCACTCTCGCTGCAGAGCGGATGAAGCGCTGCAGCCTGCCTTTGTCCTTGGTTGTGGCTGCAGCGTACCAGATGGTGATGGAGAAGAAGAGGATAGACTCAATGATGGCTGTGTAGGAGTGCACCATCACTGTCTTTGGCCGGTAGAACCATCTCTGCTGAGCCCTCCTGGTGACGGAGATGATGTTTAGGTCCCACATGAGGTCCTGGGTAATGATGGTGCCCAGAAAACGGAAGACATCCACAGCGGTGACAGGAGAGTCACACGAGGTGATGGGGGCTGGTGGGGCCGCATTCTTCCTAAAATCCACAACCATCTCTATTGTCTTCAGAGCGTTGAGCTCGTGGTTGTTTTGACTGTCACCAGATGGTCAGATTCCCACCTGTAGGCGGACTCATCCCCACCAGAGATCAGTACAATGAGAGTGGTGTCATCCGCAAACTTCAGGAGCTTGACAGACTGATGACTGGAGGAGCAGCTGTTTGTGTGCAGGGAGGAGAACAGAGGTAAAAGAATGCAGCGTTGGGGGGAACCGGTGCTGATGGGGCGAGAGGCTTGGATATGTTTCCCCAGCTTCACGTGCTGCTTCCTGTCAGACAGGAAGTCTGTGATCCACTTATGACACAAACCACGACAATGTCATCAGTCAGAGTGTGAAAATCTGCAGAAGAGCCTCTTGAGGTATTCATAAATTCTACTCATTTTTAGTCCATAATATAATTGGATTAAAAAGAGGGTGATATATTGCAACTTTTAAAGCCATTATCAAACATACAATTTTTGGAGAATCAAGTTCTAGTCAAGGTACAAGTACATTATATGCACTTAGACAGGAAAAGTTGATTAGAACCAGCAGATGGGGTAAACAGGTCTGAGCAGCTCTTCTCCTGACTCCTCTACATCGATACGATACTACAAGTATCCTGCTGTATATGAAAAGTATAAAGAGCACAGGAAGAAATACAGCACTAACAATACCAACCAAGCCATATAAATTAAGTATTCTTGATCTCACACAGTGAAGTTTTTGAACTGTGCTGTTGCAAAGTATTCCTTTCAAATGATACTTACAGATTTCTTTTTTAGCACTTAGTAATATTGCTACTGAAACTTGACAAGCAGGCAGAATCCAAGCGGAAAAAAGGAAAATGTTAACAGTTGTTTTTTGCATGATGGTTGTATATTGCAGAGGGTTACATATATACACATATCTGTCATAGGCTATAACCGACAAGAGAAAGAAATCTGAAGCGGCTAACCAGTAATTTAAAAACCACTGGAAGAGACATGCTGGATAAGATATGATGTGTTTTTCTGATAAAAAGTCAATCAAAAGCTGTGGGTAGATAACAGTGCTGAAAAGAACAGAGTTTAACAAAGCTGCAATGAAAATGTACATTGGCTCATGCAGGTTTTTGTGAATCATTATGATGCACACAATAGTGACATTACTGCTAATTATTAACATATAGACAGTAAACATGATCACAAAATAAAAATATCTATGTCTGCACTTCCACATGACCACCAAAAGTTATACAATTTACCCTATAATCCATTGATAATGTATACAGTGAGATGATAACTGTCAGGATTGGGAAACCGTGAATCCTAAAAACACTGTCCATCATCACCACTGCCGTCTCCTTAGCTGACGGCAGTTTAGGTAGGGCTATATAGTGCACCATCTTGGAAAATCTGTCTACCACAGTCAGGAGAGGGGTGTTACCATTTGACGTCGGGAGCCCCGTGACAAAGTCTCCAGAGATCTCGGCCCATGGCCGGGACGGAATGGGCAGTGGCTGGAGCAAGCCTTCCCGGGTTCTGGAGGAATTCTTGTTTCTGGCACAGACGAAGCATGCCTCCACGTAGTCCCGGGCGTCCGGCTCCATGGCGGGCAACCAGAACCTCTGCGCGATGGCAAACATGGTCCGCCGTACGCCCGGATAGCAGGTGAGCAGGGATGAGTGAGCCCAGTGAATCACCTGAGGACGCAATTCCACGGGGACAAACAGGCGATTATCAGGACACCCACGAGGTGGAGGGGTCTCACCGTTAGCCTGCTTCACCTTGGATTCTATAGGCCAGGTCACTGCTCCAACCACACAGTTTAGTGGGAGGATAGGCTCAGGTGCCCTGGCCACCGACTCGGGGCTGAACAAACGTGACAGAGCATCAGGCTTGGTGTTCCTCGACCCCGGTCTGTAGGATAAAGAAAAATCAAAGCGGTTAAAAAACAATGACCATCGGGATTGACGCGAATTGAGTCGCTTAGCCTTCCTAATATATTGTAGATTTTTGTGATCTGTCCAAACCAAAAACGGGTGCTGAGACCCCTCGAGCCAGTGCCGCCATTCCTCCAATGCCGCCTTAACTGCCAGTAGCTCCCGATCCCCCACATCATAGTTCCGCTCTGCTGGCGTCAATCGGCGGGTCAAAAAGGCGCAGGGGTGAAGCTTGTGGTCCCCTTCGGCTTGCTGGGAGAGGATGGCCCCGATCCCCTCACTGGAGGCGTCCACTTCCACCACGAACTGATGAGCCGGGTCGGGGAGTGTGAGGATGGGAGCTGTGGTGAATCTCCGGTTGAGCTCCCAGAAGGCTGCGTCTGCGTCGGCCGACCATCGGAACGGGACCTGTGGGGGAGTGAGAGCATGGAGCGGGGCTGCTGTCGCGCTGAAGCCTCTGATAAACCGCCTGAAGAAGTTGGCAAAACCGAGGAATTGCTGCAACTTCTTGCGGTTATCAGGTGTAGGCCACTCGGCTATCGCACTTACTTTGGCCGGATCCATCTGAACCTTTCCAGGAGCTACGATAAAACCCAGGAAGTAGACAGTAGTGGCATGGAACTCACTCTTTTCCGCCTTGACATATAGCCCATTGTCCAAAAGGCGCTGTAGGACGAGCTCGACCTGTCTCTTATGGGTGTCAAGATCGGGTGAGTAGATCAAAATGTCATCAATGTACACAAAATGATCTAGGAAGTCTCTCAACACATCATTAATCATGGCCTGGAAAACTGCCGGGGCGTTCGTAAGACCGAAAGGAATGACTAGGTACTCGTAATGTCCTGAGGAGGTGTTGAATCCCGTCTTCCACTCGTCCCCCTCCCTAATGCGAACCAGGTGATATGCATTGAGCAAATCTAGTTTCGTGAAGATCTGCGCGTATTGGAGCTGGCCGAATACCGTGTTCATTAGGGGAAGGGGGTATCGATTCTTGACCGTGATTGCGTTCAGCGGGCTATAGTCCATGCATGGGCAAAGAGTTCCATCCTTCTTCCCCACAAAGAAGAACCCCGCCCCTGCTGGGGATGAGGACGGCCGAATCAAACCTGCCGCCAGGGATGATTCAATGTAGTCTTTCATGGCCTGCCTCTCGGGCCCCGAAACTGAATACAGCCGACCCTTCGGGATGGGGGATCCAGGTAGGAGATCGATGGCGCCTACAACTCTTCCCCCAACCCACAATGTCCCCGGTGCGCCAGTCTATGCGTGGGTTGTGCCGAGTTAACCACAGGAAGCCAAGGATGAGGTGGTGCAGAGGTGAGTGCATTGGGTGTAACCTTATGCACTCCCAATGACCGGCTATGCGGAGTTCAACTGGTTCTGTCAAGTGGGTTATAGTAAACAACGAGTTCCCGTTGAGCGCGCTCGCCTTCACCGGTTTCTTTAATTGGATAACTCTAATTCCCAGGCTCCTAACTAAGTCCCAGTCAATAAAACTCATCTGCCCCAGAGTCAATCAATACTCCTAACTCAAAGTCCTTGCTGCGGTGTCTCATCATAACTGTGGTGAGCCGTCGCGGGGTGAGAGTGATTTCTGTGACGTCACTCACCGGCTGGTTACCCCTCCCGTAGCAGACGTTGGCGAGATGGCCACGCTCTCCACAATAAAAACACCGACCCTCTCGATATCGCCGCTCCCGCTCCTCTCGAGAGAGCCTGGTTCCACCCATGTGCCGTTGGGCAGCCAAGTGCCGGCGCCGTCCACCGACTCACACACTTCCGCCTCCGTTCCTGCAACCGGCTGTCAGTGCGGATGGCGAGGGCGATGAGGGAGTCGAGTTCAGGGGGGAGGTCCAATGGAACCATAAGGTCCTGGATTTAGTCCGAGAGTCCCTTTAAAAAAACATTGTATAGAGCCGCGGTGTTCCACCCGCTCTCTGTCGCCATGGTGCGAAAAAGAATGGCGTAATCACACACCGACTCGCCCCCCTGCTTAATCTCACTGAGTTCCCGGGCCCTTTCCCGGTCGGTCGCCCCTGGGTCGAAGACAAGTTTCAAAGCGTTGGAAAACTGCCTGGATGACGCGCAGGTTGCCGAGTTCCGAGCCCACTCCGCAGTGGCCCACGCCTTCGCTCTTCTCGTGAGGTGCGACATTATAAACGCGACCTTGGACCGCTCTGTGGGGAAATGACTGGGAGAATGTTCAAAATGCACCTCGGATTCCGTGAGGAATGATCTACTCCCTCCGATGGTTCCGTCATAACGCTCCGGGGGTGCCAACCTGGCGCCGGTGTCCTCAAGAGTGGACCCGGTGGAGAGGTCCGGAGGGGCTGGAGATGGCTCGGGCGCCAGAGCTGCGTTCCTGGAGAGGAGGGTGAGAATCTGCTCCATCTGGGAGCTGAGAAGTCCCAACTGTGCCGACACGGTGGTCCTGAACTCCTCCTGGCTGTGGGCCAGACCCCTGACTCCTCAATCTAAGCCCGTTACTAAGTCCTCCTGCTGCGCCAGCCGAGAGGCCTGTGCGCACAGTGCTGCAGTCAGCTGGTCCCGCTCTGCCAAATCCATACTGGCCTGGAGGATAAGGACGCAGAGAGGGTTGACTGCTAGAGATTTATTCCATAAATCCCATAGTTCAATAATCCAATTAATCCTATATCTAATAATACAATATTGCAATGATCTCTTCCCAAACTAATACGAACGCGGGTGTGGACATGTACGACTACAAGACACACTGGCACAGGACAAAGGGAGACGCAGACAATAAGTATCCATGAGGGAGGGTGACAATTAGGAATCAGGGGAGACAAGCGACAGGAGAAACCTGAGGAAGGGCAAGGCACCTGAAACGAGAGGGGGTTGAGACGCCACAATAAAACAGGAAGTATCAAGATCAGACGTAAGACGGGACACAAACACAAAGCCGGCGATCGGCTGCAATCTGCTGTCCCTGCAGGACTTGTTCGCTTCTAGAACCCTGAAGCGAGCTAAAAAGATCATAGCCGACCCCTCTCAAACCGGACAAAAACTGTTTGTGCCCCTTCCATCTGGCAGGAGGCTGAGGTCCATCAGGACTAAGACCTCCTGCCACATGAACAGTTTCTTCCCCTCGGCAGTCGGGCTCATTAACAGAGCCTTGTCCCCCACTGACTGACTGACATTCCACCGGTCACTTTCTTTCTCACTGCACATGTCACTTTCTGTTCGCTGGTGCACTTTATTCTCAATTTTTTTATATTTTTAACTTTAACTTTTATTCCTTTTATTTTAAACTAACCCATAGCCTATTACTACTAACCGACAGCATTCTTTTTTATTTTATTCCTTGTGCACTGTTGTCTTGTGGTCCATCGTCGTACTGTCTGTTGTTACGCACCAACCGCCAAGTCAAATTCCTTTTATGTCTGACATATTATGGAAATAAATGTTTCCTGATTCCAATGTGTCATGAGTGTTAAAATATATGATGTAAACATGATAGCAGAATATAAAATATCTGTGCACTTGATGTGCACATCAAGAATCCATCAATGATGATAACTGTTACATTAAGTTCATCAACCATTAATGTTCAGATATAAAACAGGTGGATCAAGTAACAAGCAAAGTAATGAGTCTTTTATTTCATAATGCCACTTTTCATTTCCAGAGTCTTTTATTTCATAATGCCAATTTTCATTTCCAGAGTCTTTCCACAGGCATTTCATAATGCCGGATCTCACTCTAATGTTAGGGTACTATAAAATAAACACTAGATTGCCTTTCATACCCTTTAAAATCAAAGGTAAAAGTGGATGCTTAATTACTTATGATCTGTAATATGAACCAAACCAAAGACAGTCATCAGTGTGAAGACACTATACCATTTTGCAGAAGAGATTCTTAAGGTGTTCATAAATTCTCCTCATTTTTAGTCCATAAATGATTGGATTAAAAAGAGGGTGATATATTACAACTTGTAAAGCCATTACTAAAAGTGAAATTTTTGAAGAATCAGGTTCCAGTCGAGAAAGAAGTACATCGTATGCAGTTAAACAGGAAAAGTTGATTAGAACCAGCAGATGGGGTAAACAGGTCTGTGCAGCTCTTCTCCTGACTCCTCTACATCGATACGATACTACAAGTATCCTGCTGTATGTGAATAGTATAAAGAGCACGGGGAGGAATAAAAAAATAACAAGAAGAAACAAACCATATATATTCAATATTGTTGATCTCACACAGTGAAGTGTTTGAACTGTGCTGTTGCAAAGTATCCCTTTTAAATGAAACGTACAGATGTCTTTTTTAGCACTTAGTAACAATAATATTAAAAACAAACAACCGGGCAGAATCCAAGCGGAAAAAAGGAAAATGTTAACAGTTGTTTTTTGCATGATTGTTGTATATTGCAGAGGGTTACATATAGACACATATCTGTCATAGGACATGATGGACAAGACCAAGAAATCTGAAGCGGCTAACCAGTAATATAAAAACCACTGGCAGAGACATGCTGGATAAGATATGATCTGTTTTTCTGATAGAAAGTCAATCAAAAGCTTTGGGTAGATAACAGTGCTGAAAAGAATAGAGTTGATTAACAAAGCTGCAATGAAAATGTACATTGGCTCATGCAGGTTTTTGTGAATCATTATGATGCCCACAATAGTGACATTACTGCTAATTACTAAAATAAACACCGTAAACATGATCACAAAATA